GATAGAGAACATGATATCAAAATAGGTGAGTCATTTACGGTTGTATATCGAGTACCAGACAATCTGCCTAAAGACACACAATTACGTCTCTCAGCTATAGAGGAAGGTGTGGAGATCAATAAGACAAAACCTTACCTATCTGTACAAAGAAGCACATTCATCCTGTTTGTTTACCCTGGCCTACTATAAGGTCAACAGGGACATAATCATTCATAATTCCAAGCCATATTATACCATCTTATTCCTTTCTATTCATTCCACTTTACTCCGTTATTACCTTTATTATGTGTCAACCCTTTGTAATTTACACTAAGCTTATTATTATGCCTCTAGTATTTTATTACAGTTCACAATCTAACCTGTTTATTTTATCACTACACTTGATATCTGTCAGTCCTTGTTTGAACTTACATTCAGTTCAGTGTTCTCCATTTTTTTTGGTATTTGTTTGAATGCATTTTGTGGTAACCTTTTTCCTTGCACATCACTGAATATAACTCACCCCACTCACACTAGTGTTATGTGTCTAGTCTTTTGAATGATACAGACTAAATTCTATCAGTTTTCAATATGGCCACCATTCTATATGGCTCACCATCACTGTTCATTGGGAATTGTTGAGATTAGATAGTTAGAGGCAATAAGCAGGAAGTCTTGGACCTAGGTTTCGTCCTACTCGGCACTCACCAGTCAGCAAGGCTTGAAGGAACTGATATCCCCAGTGAGATTCCAATCCTCCGCCTTTTAATTCATATTCATGTATTGAATTGAATTTTTGATTTTCCCGTCGATCGTTTGGACCGAAGTGCTCGGTCTCAGGTTAATAACTAATAATAATAATAATATGACCTGCTGCACAAGAGGTGGCTCTCGTGGCCCAAGTGGTCTAGTGGATAACGCTTTGGCGTTTGAAACTATGGGTACTGGGTTCGAGCTTCGGTGGGAACGTCATCACTCACTGAGAAATGCAGGTACATCCAGCCGACGAGTCCTAAATAGGACGAAATGCGCATCCTGGATTCCACTTCTAGCCACCATCCATCAATTGCATATTCATGTATACTCGTTTCATGTATCTATGCTGAGTACCTGGATTTTTTCATTGGAGTTAGAAGAGTTATGTGTATTTTTGAAAATCCTCTCCTCCTCCAATGTTTATCTGTTCATTTAGGCATACTCCTCGATGAAGTCTAATGTAAAATGGATCTTAATGACTAGTCTGTGAAGATACTTTCGGACTCTAGTTGTAGCAGATGTCTCCAAGATAGCTTTGATGTCAGTTTGCATTTATTCGATAGCTGATTACTAACACTTCATTTATTCGAACAACTTTTACATGCTTAAGTATTGATTGACGGGGATTTGATTGAGTCGATGGTAGATTTCATGACGAATTGACACTATTTGAAGAAATGCTGGTAACCGTGGTGTACTAGACAGGTGTATCGTCTTGGCTTATTCGTCATCCTCAGTACCAACCCATGACTGACGACTACCAGGTGATAGAACCTATAACCTACAGGATATAATGATGGCTAGGATATATGCTGCTCATGTCAGACCTGTCAGTCGAATTCACATATGTAAATTATTCCATTTCAAATTATTACTAGTATTATTCCCGTGGGCTTTGAGTGGAACATAGGGTGTCAACAGCATATCACCCTCGGACCTACGCTCAACTTGTCGTTTCCCATTCTGGCTTCGCTTGGAGGTCTGAAGTATGATGTCACTTAGTGGTCTGTGTTCAGTTTATCTTCATTTCCTTCTGCATATTCGTTGGTCAGTATGTTCTTCTTTGGTTCACTGCACCGTCAGAGCTCCTTGTTGCTTATATTTTCTGGCCGGTCATATGATGTTCGGTATCGATTCATCAAAGTTAGCTGAGGATAAGAGTCTGCAAAAGGATGTTGGAAACGCTTTAGGTAAGGCACTTTACAGGTCTCTGAAGTATATAGAACCATTATTGTTGAAAATACGAACCTTGTTGTCCTATGATGAATGCAGCAAATTTTCACACTCATTTCTCATTAATGAAGGCGTCTCTATCTTGTATTTCCGATCCTGCCTTTGAACTCCTCATCTGTGCCGCCTGTATTTAAAACGATTCTAGAGGCGACTTCATTTAGATTCCTTCTGTTGATGGTGATCGGTATTTCTTGTTGTTGGTCAGGTGTCTCTATCACCACTGCCTTCTTTATATTCACTTGAAGTTTAGTCTCGTTTGATTCTCCTATCACTATTGTTGGTTTTCGCCTTTAGATCTTTAAGTTTTGTGACATAAGACATAAATCATTCACAAATGTCCAAATCTTCTAGAGTCTTTTTGTCTGTCCAACGTATGTCTCTCTCTCTCCTTATAACCTACGGTCTGTTGCATGATTCAGTTCAACATAATTAAGAATATCATCGGTGATAGTAGGCAGCAGACTTGTCTCACTCCTACCTTCATTTTAAAAGTTTCACTGAGGTTTCCTCTTTAGTTTTTATGAGAGTGATTAAGAAGTATAATAACTTCTTTTGCTTATCATCTGTGATAGCAAATATGACCTGAATAATGTCCTTCAAGTTTTAAACAGCTGCCACCCAGTCATCAAATTTACAACTAAAGCAGAAACCGGAGAGTCAGTCTCATTTCTGGACATCCAACTAACAAAGATGACTGATGGAACCCTAGAGATCAACATATAATATCTCTTGAGACTAGAATCCGCAGAATGTGCAATCCCGAATCTGTAGGAGAGGAGATCACCCTTTTGAGGAAGACACTACCTGAGAATGGCTATCTACCACACTTTATGAATAAACATATAAAGCTGAAAATCAACAAAGAACAACGCATCTCTGTGCCGAAGAAGATGCTATACATAAATGTATCATTCAAAGGCGAACTTCTGGTCAACATTACGACTGGTATTCTCAAACCGCCCATTTTCTTCAACAACTTCAAAGATAAACCATCGCATTTGACCACTTCTGTGTGTATCTGCCAATTCACTTGCTCATGTGGAGTGAGCGAGATATAAAGGTAGTTCGATGAGCGTGTTTTATCCAAAAGAGTCAAAGAACATTATCCCGCTTGACTACGATAAGGTATCAGTGGATCAAAAGAGAGTGCTATTATCGCGCATTTAACCAACACTGGTAACTCAATATGTAAGGAGAGTTCATTCAAAGTCATCTACAAAGTCAAAAGAAGCCTCCCAAAAACAGTTCGCTTCCGTACACTTTACAGTGCCTAGGTCTTAGCGATCCGGATAGAAAACCCTGATTTATGCACACAGAAGAAACTTCTCCACCCCCTCCTTCTACTCTGGGCGGTATAATTCCAAGTTCTACAACTTTGTTATGAATGTCTTGTTTTCACTTTTGGTTTTTGAATTTTTGTACAGCATCTTGGTAACATCTTCTTAACGAACCCTTTATTTACTCTTTCTACCTATTACATAATTTATATTTTGGACATAAAGAGCATCTCAGACAAACTTCAGGCCTTCATTAACAGTTGTCTTCGTTCAATGCTTCGCTTAAGATCAGATGGCTGGCCAGAAAAGATCAGAAACAGGGATCTCTGGCAATGAGCGAACCAACCCACCAGGAACCGATTGTGAAACAAATAGGCAGGAATAAATGGAGATGGATTGGCCATACTCTGAGGAAACCATCGAGTGACATCCCTAGACAAGCCATTGCTCGAGTGGAACCTGAAAGGGAATCGGCGAGTTGGTCGTTAGTGTGAGGGTGACTTGGAGGAGGTCATGCGAGGAGGAGATGAAAGCATGTGGTCAGACTTGGAGCGGGGTGAAAAAGTTGGCAGAAAACGGAAGGCAATGGAGACGCGTGGCTGAAGCCCTATGTTCCTCTAGGAATAAAAGGATATAATAATAATAAATAATAATATTTTGAACACATGTCTCCGTTGACATCCTATTTCATATAACGCAACTCTTGTCAATACTTGTCAATCTTCTCTCTCCCTCTAGTTACAATTTTGATTACTCATCACATTTTAGAAACATTTCGATGATGTAAACAATAACCCTATCTAATTTTTATTCGGTCGCTTGAAGGATTTCATCACTAGCTGACATCAGTTAGAGAACCCCTTGGTAAACGTACAAGGAGTACTGGACATCTGTTTCGTCCTAACTTGAGGCTCGTCATTAGTACGTAGCCCACCGTCAGAGTTCGAACTTAGGACATTCTTGTTAGGAAGAGGCAAAACACATGCAACTATCAGGTCATTATCATGTCTCAGTCAAGTTATTATCGCGTTATTAACAAGTCGTTGACATGCAATTGTCCTGCTTTCTGACTGGACGCTTGCACAATTCCAACTCTCAACCGCATTGGTTGATTTCCAGTCTACCTTATTTTTGTATAAATACAGTCACTTTTGTCATAATAAATGAACCTGGTTTTACCAGCTGATTCTCGCGTGTTCTGCTTTACCAGTTAAGTGGGAACATGTCAGTAGTTAAGCAGTGACCTCGTGACAAAATATCTAGCATCATAACACTTCTGGTTGCAAGGCTAGCTACCTCGTAGACCATTAAACCTCTGGGACCCGACACAATGGTTCATGAATTCTGACTTCTACCAATTCATGACATAGTGCGACCATTTCGCAATGTCTTCTTCGATGAGTTACTGCCTCACCTCCTCCAACCAATCCAGCAAAATCCCTACAAAACCCAATAAACGATCGTTTTTATTGTTGTCTGGCAATCCTTTTGTACACACACACACACACAAAATAATGTATGAATGAGATTATATAGCTAAGTGAATGAATTCGCCGCCGAAAAGAGACTCTTCGCTGATCTTTGTTGTTCTTATATTCGATTTATTCCTACTGTATGGAGCAATTATTATCTTGGAATGGAGATTTTGTCCTGAGATTCTTTTAAATCTATTTATTCAACATTCACACTTTAAAAAAAGATGCTTGTCTAAATAACCTATGATGACAAAAATTACTATTCTTATTCTTTACACAGTCACGATCTTCTAATCAAATCAATAAATTCTCCAGCTCTAAATCAGACAACTACAATCACAGTCATCATCATCAACATCAGAATGAAGGTATTTTGAATAGTAGAAATTCCCTTCAAGAATTTCTACAATTAGAATTACACAATGCACTACAACTTGTTCAAGCTGTACATTCTAATTTGGCTAGCCTGTCAAGAGCTTGTCGAGGTAGTCAATTGGTAACTGATGTTTTGCATCAATTGGCTGGTAGTATTTTACACGGTGAAACACCAGAGACTTGGCTGTCACATTGGCCTGAAGGACCAACTGAAGTTGTTCCTTTTCTAAAAGATTTAGTCACCAAATCAAATACTGTACAGGTAGGTTGTTCATTCTGATTTCTTAAAAATGTATAATTTTGAAGATAATATTTGAACATTTTATTCGATAGGTATCTTGATTACGAAGTTTTCATTGACTTTATAGACAATATCTTCAGTTCATAAACTATGGTAAGCATTAATATTGTTCAAAATGAGCGCCCTCTCCAATTCTGGGCCCAAGAACATAAACTTGTGTTGAGGGCTGGCTGCAAGCAAAAATTGTAGACAGCAATTCACGTCAATGTTACTTTTCGAGTTGGAGTCATGAGAAAAACAGTAACAAAGCTTAACCTTGAGGGACTCGCCAACCAATCACAGTAGACGTGACGTGTGACGATTCGTAGACATATGGCTTAACTTTCTGAGAAACGGTGAAAAGCAAGAAAACAACCAATCAGAAGGGGTCGCTTCTTCACCGACAATAATGAGCATAAAAACCCATAGATACCTCTGGATTTTCTCAATAAACGATCTGTTGCCTGGCCCTTGTCTTCTGTTGTTACAAACTAACTCTCAAAGGACACGAGATGTTCCCTTCATATTAATATTCACGCACACAACTATGGATACCAATTCGACTGGAAAAATGTGAAGATTTTGATCACTAGAAACCTGCTACTCAGACAAGTCAGTGCTCAACAGAGACGTTATGCTATATAAATCAAATTTACCAACTAATTAAGGATAAACCACATGACAAAAAAGTCCGATTCCAAGTCAATTGAAACGATCAATACGAACGCAAACTAACAACCAATCACAACAAATGTCATCAGAAGAGTCACAGACAATATCATTCACTTCACATCGAGGCATGCGCTCATAATGTTATCTAGAGAGATAATGAAAGCCTCATAATTAAATTGTACAAATCAGAGAACATGATGACATCAGAATCATCCATCTGAGCTACAAAATTTCACTATTATTTTAATATTTGAAGTATTAAAACGGATCTTATAAGTACATATCAGCATATATTTTCTCACCTCTCAACTCTTTATTAAAATGATTCCGTTACAAATCTATCTCTGAGTTATTTTCCATTATATTTCGACCTTAGAAAACACTTACCTGTATTAAAATCTTATTTTTCGTTAGTTGTTTGATACTGATTCATGGAACCAGTTTGAAAATCTTCTACTGTCACACATCCAGTCAGCCAGCATAAACAACAAATGTCAAGTCAGTCAGTCAGTCAGATAGTCACTGCTTCTATACGGGTCAGAAACTTGCAGTGCGTGTCATGCAAATCATTTCCAACAGCTTGTTACAGACTTTTATTAACAGCTGCCTTCACCGGCTCCATTCTGAAGATCAGATGGCTGGTGGAAAGAATAAGCAGCAGGAAACTCTGCCAATAAACCAACCAAGAGCTGATCGTTCGGCTTACGGCGAGTTGTCATCTGAACTAGTGACGACTATTGGTGTCCGTCAAGGATGCCCATTATCCCCTTTTCTATTCAACTTCATCATAGATGTACTAATGGACTTAACCCTAAGTGACTTCAGCGACTCGGGGATTGACTTGCTACCTGGGAATAATCTCGTTGACTTGGAATATGCAGACGATATACTCCTTCTAGGCGAGGACGCTGACAAAATGCAGAGTCTTCTAAACACCTTGAGCCGCAATCTACGAATGTTTGGCATGCGATTCGCTCCCGCCAAATGCAAGATGATGTTACAAGACTAGAATGCAGCGACTCCTAGATTAGAAATAGGAAGTGAAGTGGTAGAGCACGTTGACCACTTCACTTATTTTGGAAGTACCATCAGCCAGTGCCAACGGATAGATCTCTGACGAAATCTCAGCACGAATACAGAGGGATAGTTTCGCATAGGCCAGTTTACGCCGTCTCTGGCGTAGATGTGATATCCGACTATCGACCAAAGGGCGGGTGTACTGCTCATCAGTCCGCTCCGTCCTCCTTTATGGCTGTGAGACCTGGCCACTGAGAGTGGAAGACATGAAAAGACTAGCTGTCTTTGATCATAGATGCCTGCGCTATATTTCCCGTGTAAAGTGGCATAATAAGGTGAGCAATATTGAGGTTAGGCGTCGAGTTCTAGGTAAACAGGGGAAATCAATCGACGAAGTCGTGAAGCTACATCGACTGAGATGGTTAGGACATGTGTTACGTATGCCAAGCCATCGCCTCCCTCGACGAGCAATGTTATCTGATATAGGGTCAGGCGGGAAAAAAGCTAGTGGAGGTCAAACAAAAACTTGGCACCAGTCAATGAAATCCACAACAGTTGGTCTAAGCCACGTAGGAAGGTGTAGACTTCCAGGTTGGGGTCCTCGGGACGGTAAAAATAAATGGTTGGAAACAGTTGGTGACATGGCTCAAAATCTTTCTCAGTGGCGCAGTTGCATCCACTCCCTGTGACTTATGATTTCCAATTAAACTATGTTGTTCTTCGCTACTACTATTCCTTTGTCTCACATCTCTGCTCACTGTCTCTATTATGCCTTTCTTGTACTTCCTTCTTTGGCTTTGTGTGCTACATGGAGTGTGGCGACTTGAACTTCCGCACATATGTGCAAAGTTCTATGTCGAAAACAGACAGACAGATCGTTCGGTAAATATATAGGAGAAGATGGAGATGGACCAGGAACACGTTAAGGAGGCAGTCGAATGAAATAGTTCGCCAGGCCTTCGAGTAGAATCCCAACAGGAAGCGACTATTGGGTCGTCTGTACGCGGGTGACATGGAGGAGAGCGTGCGTACAGGAGATGAAAGATTATGGGCAAGCGTGGGGTAAGCTGAAGAGGTGTTATGTACTCGTCGAGTAGTTAATAGTCCTGACACGGAAGAGGGTAATCAGAAGACCACTAGGTTTACGATGATACTTGTATTTTCCCAGACAAGGGAAATAAATGTCACACAAGTGTGTGAATGGTACGAAATATGTGTAAACAACAATAATGATAAAATGTACAATGCAAGTATATATGAAAATGGCTAGTACACACGAACCAATAAATAGACAGTCTTAACATGATTGGTTGTAATGTCATATGACAACAAGGTCATACATGTTTATTTAGTTAGTGGACAGACAGAAGCATATTGTCAGTTATAATGGAATATCGATCCGTATACACATAGCGAAATATAACAGACTGTCAAAAACAAAACACCCACATCATGTGGGTGCATATCAAGAGGACGACAGAAAATAAAAGAAAGTGGAGATATCCACCAGTTGAAGCCCTGCTTCCAACTCGGAACGTAAGGGAATAATAAAAATAATTCCTGGGACCAATCAAATAGTCTTGTTGTATATAAAATCTTTATAGAGAAGCACTGTAAAGTTTTGTGCGTCGGTGGTTCAGTGTGCTAGAATGGTTACCGACCACACATTTAAACCGGGATTCGATCATAGGCCGATATACTCCTCCCAAACTCTGCCAAGGTGGCAGTGAACCTTGAAAATGGGAAGTTTTCAACCCTGCTCCACAAAAATAAACACCACCGCTACTGAGACTTTGAACGAAGCTGACACTCGAAACTGTATGTTTCACTGGTGATTTCAAAGAAGTAAAATAATAGTAATAAGTAATTTCAGTCAATAACACGTTAACTATTGTGTTTCATCAAATCATATCCCGCAGTACATGATCAATGTTACTCTCATTTACGAGTTATTTGCCTGACCCTTGAATGTGGCAACTACTTCGCTACTACGGGGTGCCATCGACAATTATACATCTCATCCAATAGTTATACGACAATGCTGCATGCCAAGTAATTCACAACGGGAAACTTACGGAAGCCTTCGAAGTGAGGACGGGAGTGATACAAGGCTGTATACTATCGTCAATGATTTTCCTGATTACAGTAGATTGTATAATGAGACAGACAACGGGCAATGAGGAAACAGGCATAAAATGGACTCATACAAAAGACTTGGAGGATCTGGACTTCGCCGATGATATATGTCTGATTTCCCACAAACTGGAAGATATGCAAGTGAAAAGCAATAAGTTGGCAGAAGAAGCATCAAAGATAGGACTTCAAGTGAACATAGAGAAAACAGAGGTGATGAAGATTCCTGGCCAACATCAACAGCAACAACAACAACAGACAACTATCAGCCAGCATAAATGGGAGGAACCTGAAAGAAACAACCTCCTTCACCCACCCACCTACCTGGGAAGCATCGTTTCAACTACAGGCGGAACTGACGAGGATATCAAAGCGAGAATCGGAAAAGAAAGACAAACTCTCATTACTCTCAAATCTGTGTGGAGGTCAACAGCACTAAGCATCAAAATGAAAATAAGATCCGGATTTTCCACTCCAATCTGAAGTCAGTGCTACTATACGGATCAGAGACTTGACCAGCGCATCATAAAGAGCATCTCAAACAAACTACACACCTTCATCAACAGCTGCCTCCGCTCAATACTCAAAATCAGATAGCTGGCCAGAAAAGATCAGAAACAGGGATCTCTGGCAATGAGCGAACCAACCCACCAGGAACCGACTGTGAAACAAATAAGCAGGAAGAAATGGAGATGGATTGGCCATACTCTGAGGAAACCATCAAGTGACATCACTAGACAAGCCATTGCTCGAGTGGAACCTGAAAGGAAAGTGGCGAGTTGGTAGTCAATGCAAGGGTGACTTGGAGGAGGTCATGCGAGGAGGAGATGAAAGCATGTGGTCAGACCTGGAGCGGGGTGAAAAGGTTAGCAGAAAACGGAAGGCAATGAAGGTGCACAGCTGAAGCCTTATGTTCCTCTAGGAATTAAAGGATATAGTAATAATGATAATAATAATAGTAATAATAATAATACAAATATAAAATCAAAGGATAAGAGATAATAGATATTTATCTGAACAAAGTTTGAAAATTATCTGAGTTAGTGCCTTGATTCTAACAATGACTATGAGTAACAATAAACTGTACTTGAAACAAATCATCAGTAAATGAATCATACTGTATCACTACTCCATGTGTGTGTGTGTGTGCGCGCGCACGCGCTTTAATCAAATAAATGTATTCTATCATGTTTACACAAATCTACAAACCGTCAAACAGTCTCACTACTTTTAAAAATGTCTCCTTCACACAATAATATGTTATAATTCTCATAATATTTCCAACAAAGTAAAAGTAAACCATTATATAACAAATGTCGTGTGTAATGAAATAACTGATCCATTGTGCAGTGTACAGACATTATTGATCCTATCTGGTTCATAATTTTATTATTATTATTATTTGGATAGTGTTATTAGAAGACAGATTATGTGGAAAAATGTGATGTATTTGCGCTATACACTTTGAACAATCTGATCACACATTTATCTGTCAAGTCGATATATGTATGAAAAAATTAAAGGTAATTAAAGTAAACAAAGTGACAGGAAAGATTTAAGAATGATTTACACAACGTTCGGAAATCCAATGAAATAAGTATTACCAAGGTAGATTAAGAGTAATAATATACTGTTTTTGAACACACAATAGTGGGAAGGTGGGCTTAAGTTTATGAATAGCTATAGCCTCAGCGTATTTCAATAAGCGCCCTTGACCATTTTTTATAGATGACCTTAAAGGCTGAGTTGACATCAGTCTTTTGGTTCATCTCGATTAGATGTTTAGCTATAGACGAAGTTGGTAGTCTGACACCTGTATCTATTGGCTTGTCACAATTCATCTGTTTTTCTAACCATTTTTAGGATATGCTCTCCCACCCTGACATGAAAAGCACGATTACTCTTCCCTATGTATGTGTGTCTACACACACACGAAAATTGGTGAATAGTATGAGGTGTGACATAATCACTTGTGCACTTTTGAGGTTTGCAATGGAGCATATTTTTGGCTTTTTCGATAATTACAAGCCCTTCTGCAAAGTAGGTTCTACGGATGACCGAATTCAACCTTTGTCTCACAATCCTACTGTTTATTTCCCCGTTATATGGTAATTTGATGAAGACATTTTCTTACACGTGGTATAGATTGTAGGTTTAAAGACTAATTGACTTCTACACCTGTTTAAAAATTTTAAAGGATATCCGTTTTCAACAAGAGTATCCGTCAATATTTCATTTTCTTTTTCTATAACATCAGCCGTGCAAATACCTTGAATTCTCTTAAATAGACATTTCATCAAACCTCTCTTATACTGTAATGGACAGAAACTGGGGAAATTAAGGTATTTCCCTGTCCAAGTGGGCTTTCAGTAGATAGACCGTCTTATTGAGTCATCATCTCTTCGACTCAGAAGTATGTCTAAAAATACAAGCTGGTTGCAACTTTCTTCCTCACATGTAAGACTAATATGATTCTGTACAGAGTTAAGTCTGTCTAATAGACGACTCGCATCTTCATGGTCGTCATATATCAAAATATCATCTACATATCTCCCATAGAAGGGCAATTCAGAAATTAAATCATGGGACAAGTTCTCATCATAAGACATGTACATGACACCATTTTGATCTGTGACGATCATGAAGATACTAGTCGTCTATTAGACAGACTTAACTCTGTACAGAATCATATTAGTCTTACGTGAGAAGAAGAAAGTCTCAACCAGCTTGCATTTCTAGACATACTTCTGAGTCGAAGAGATGATGGTTCAATAAGACGATCAATTTACAGAAAGGCCACTTGGATAGGACAATACCTTAATTTCCCCAGTTTCTGTCCATTACAGTATAAGAGAGGCTTGGTGAAATGTCTGTTTAAGAGGATTCAACGTATTTTCACGGCTGATGTTATGGACAAAGAAAATGAAATATCAACTTGACAAGTTAATGTGTGATGAGATTGTTCGAAATGTGTAGCGTAAATACATCCCATATTTCAGATAATCTCCGTCTTCTAATAACACTATCCAAATTTATAAAAGGGATTAATTATTTTGAATATTTTCATTATTACTACTATTATTATTAGTAGTAGTAAGACAATTAATTAGTTAATTAATTAATTGTAAATAACGCTTACTTTTTTTGTCTACTGTTTATCTATCTATCAGACATGGGCTAAACAAGCAGAGACAGATCAATTTTTACGTGAACAAAATGAAAATGGCTTAGATTTAGCCAGCCTATTTCGTCCAGCTACATTTTTAAATGCATTACGTCAACAGACAGCCAGGCAAGCGAATATATCGATTGATATGCTGAAATTATCATGTCAGTGGATAACACAGTCTCACGCTTATAGAAATAATAATAATAATGATACTAATAATACTAAATCTATACCAATACGTATTACAAATTTGAAATTAGAAGGCGCAAACTTTCAAAATGGTCAACTAAGTCAAAGTGACCCAGAGGATCCAACAATTATCAAACTGCCTGATATTATTTTGAAATGGATTCCAAAAGTAATAGTTATTTGTAAATTTTAGTGTTTCGTTTACATCATTGTAAATTGGAATGTGTTTTTTTCAAGTTTTGGTTGACATAGATTTGGTCAGTTACAGGTTTGATCACGAGCTCGTTGTGTAACCGGAATGCCCTGGTTTTGGGACTTTAGTGGGTACGTACTGATGAAGTGTCTCAAACTACAAGGAAACAGCTGTCCAGTGCTCCCAGGTTTTCCAACAGTTGGCTAACTGATGTCAACCTGTGATCAAATTCAATGTTTTCGTCTTTTGGAAGTGCAGACACATTTTTATTTTAAATTTATTGGATTCAAGTTGAAATCCCGAACTATCTATTTATGTTTAATCGTTATTCGTTGGTGAAGGTGAGGAGGACACTTGGATTCCTCTCAGTCTTACTACCGACAGAATAAAATTCGCATTTTAAGTTAATTGACGGATTAAAATCGCTTCCAGAACCATTGAAAACCAGGGTTATCTGTTTCCTTTAGTTCGGGACTCTTCATCAGTACACAACCATGACCTAACCTCTAGTAATCGAAGACAAGGTTACGAAACGAGCCTGATGAGCATTCAGGCACTGAAGGGGAATCCAGTGGCTAGTCCATGAAGTCTAAATTCTCTGGTTTCATGATCGTGTTATTTGCTCGACTTAAAAAGCAAAAGGTTTGTGATTTTCACGTATTCGAATTTTGTCAAGAACTAACATCACTTAGAGAAATATGACTGACTGAATGAATGAATTAATGAAAAACAAAAGAAGTTCAAAATAACTGTTAATGTGGCTTGCACTACTGATAAAACCTACCAGTAGTATATAAAGAGACGTTCAGTGACATGAAAATATCAAACACAGGGGAGATAGATATGACGTCAACGACATCAAATGAACCAGTGTTGCAACCAAACATGGGAACCATGAAAAGAAGACAAAGTAGCGCAGAAGTAGCACAACATGGAAGATCTGTACAAATGACGATTTTCAGAAAGGTGTACATAATTTCGCTATGTAGGCACTCCAAATAACAGATAAACATTCCTTTATCAAGTCTCTTGTCTTCTATGGTTACAGTATGAGCAGAAATGTGTGAAAGAAAGAGTGGTATCATTGAAAAGCATGAGGGTTATATAGATTCGGGGGATTGTGAACAGTGAATGTATCTGCTCCAATGAGAACGCTTTTAAACCATTTTCATTAATGATCTCCAGTCGTTGGTTCTTGTCATCCCGAGCACTCCAACCAGGCAATCCACACTTCCCTAAGTGGCTGGTTTAAACCAATAGTCAAAGATTTCTTGGATTCATGCTGGGTTTTGATATGACCACCGCTAACTGTTTTGTAGTCTGTGCCTATGTCAGCTGTTAGAGAACTATTGGAAACCATATAACACTCCACCTAATTAGTAATCGAATTTGATAGTTCCTCCTCCTACCGAGGTTTGGGCAACCAGATAGTATTACTAGAGCTCACACCCACACACAACAGGCTTGGCTCATTGCTGCCAGCATGCAAGTGATTATTTAGTTTAAAGTGAGTCAAGTTGAGGGAGTACTAGTTTCATTTTCAGTGTTAACGATAGACTCGAAGGTATATATATACCACCATTCTTCACTCTTGACTTCTGGACTACGAAAAGCTGAAGTTCTGATTCGTCTCTTTGATTCAGACAGTTGTATTCCTGCGGTGTATGTGCCAGACTATCGGGAGCTGGAAGACAAGAATAAGTTGGACCATCGATAAGAAGACTCTAGAATATCTGAATTTCGCTCGTGGATGATTTATGTCTAGTGTCGCACAAACTCGAAGACCAACAGGCAAAAATTAACAAACTGACAGAAGAGGCTGACTGGCAGCCAAGGCAGAACTCCAAGTGAACACAGAGAAGACGGCGATGATGAAAATAACCAACCAACCAACCAACCACCACTAACAGCAATAGCAACAACAACCAGCGCCAATCACCATCAACAGGAGAAAATCGAAAGAGGTTACTTCCTTCACTTATCTCGGAAGCACAGCTTCAACCACAGGCAGTCGGCTAGCACGGATGAAGATTTCAAAGCCAACCATCTAGCCACCCAGTCAGCAAGAATTGGAAAGGCAAGATACGGCTTCGTCAACCTGAAACCATTTTGGAAATCTTCTGCGGTCACTCAGCCAGCCAATCAGCCAGCATAAACAACAAAATTCGAATTCTCTTTAACACAAGTGTGAAGTCAGTCAGTGATTCATTGCTTCTATACGGGTCAGAAACTTGCAGTTCGCTTGTCCCATGAAAAGGATTTCCAACAGCTTGTTTCAGACTTTTATCAACAGCTGCCACCTTTGCTGGCTGGCTGACTGGCTGGCTCTATACTGAAGATCACATGGCTAGAAAGAACGTATTGCTCAACAATTATGCTGAAGGAAATACAGATGAATTTAACAGGCACTGAAGAGACCGTTGGATGGCATCGCGCGCTAGGCCATCTGTAGAGTGGAACCCTAGTGGGAATCGACAAGCCGGGCTCAGGTCCGAGGTTGATATGGCGGAGATCGTACGAAGAAAAGATGCGAGTATATGAGTGAGTGTGGGACAAGATGAAGAGGAGGACCTCAGAAAATAAGACAAGGTGGAGATGTACCGTTGAAGGCTTATGTTCCACTTAGACAACAACAATACAATAATAACAATAATTACAGTGGTTTTTGCTACTAATGATAATTTATAAGTAGTATATAGTCCCCAACAAAAATTTTGAACACAGGGGCGATAGTTGAAAACTACACAAATGGAGGTACACAGTAAGTGAAGGAAGCGGAGCACGAGTAGCTTATGCAAATGGAGTTTTCCACATAAAGTTGTTAATTGTTTAACGCTATTGTATGTAACAGGCTTATTGTATTCAAGTTTGCCTTGGAAACCTGATTACATTTTACAGACGTCATTTAATGAAGGTGACAAGAATTTTTATGGTTACTGAACTGCCTCTCCTTCATATCCACATTAGCTTTAGTAGCAGGTTGGGTTCCTCTTTACCAGATTTACGACGAGTTAAGCAACTTTTAGGATTACATCGGCCGGGAATCGAGCTCAGACCATGTGCATGGTTTGCGAGCATCCTGTCATTGAAATACTGATCTATGATTTAACATATATTACTTTAAAACAGTTATAGAAAATGGATTCGTCTAGGAAGAAAAAAGTATTAGCGATTCACGTTACCTTTTACTGAAGGTCCATTATGCATCCATCATTCTTTACTACAAGGGTTACCCTACACATGGAAATATAACCTCAGGTAAATTATTTGACCTACGAAATTACCACAACTGATTGTTGCCCAGTTGTAAAAGCCTGTTCGATTGTAAGGACATTTACTTTATATGTGACAAGGATCTATTGAGGGTGTAATCGTAGCTAGATCTTACGTCACAGATCAAAGACAAAGTCATCTGTGAATCAATAAATAAGACAAATTAACTGTCTACTGTCTCTTTGCTCAAGGAATTTGCAACTGTTGTCTACTTGTGATGAAGGCTGTTTCGTGAGGGGTTTACTCTTTATTATCTCTACACTTTTTAATATCCTACTGCTAACTGAAAAATCCGTCAGACTACTTTTGTCGACAGATTCGATTAGTGAGTTGTGGTTGTAGTGTCTTCTTTCCATGAAGGCAAAAATAAGAATAAGGAAATAGAATACTCGTACAATGTACGAGGCCTGCTGGGAAGGCTGACTAGGTAGCCAAATAAATGAGAAGATTTGGCATAGAAGTGCTGGGAATCTGTGACAGCAGATGGAATAGATGTGGGTTATCAAAATTGCCAATCAGAGAGTCAGTATTCTACTCTGAACACTCAGACGACAACCACTAGCACACTGAGGGAGTGAGTGGTTATCATGATGTCACCAATGCTAGCCAAAATCCTAATGCAGTCGGAACCAATTTCATCCTGCAGGATCAAGACAGCGAGATTCAACTCAAAAGGAAAGAAGATTACAATTATCCAGTGCTACCCCCCTACAAACGACGCGGAACAAGAGAAGAAGGAAGATTTCTATAGACAACTACAAAGAGTAATGGACAACATCCCGAATGAAGATACCGAAATCCTTATTGGTTATATGAATGTTAACCGAAATGGGAGCAGACCATGCGAGAAGAGAACTCACCATGGGTCAAGAGGCTGTCTCTTGGAAAAATGAATGAGAACGGAGCACTCTTCGCAGACTTCTGAGCCTTCAATGATTTGGTGAAATGGAATTCGTTTGAAGGACACACCACAAACTAGATAGATTTCATCTGAATGCTGCTCAAGAGAGTGGAGACATAGCTAGTCTGCTGGACACACAGTCGAGAAGGGGAGCAGGTGTGGGCTCAGACCATAATCTAGTTCCACGAATCTTAAAGATAAAGCTCAAATCCTTGAAAACAAATGGAGACAGACCACAATTCAACACTCAGAAACTTTAGAGCAAAACTAAAAGGGATACCTTCACTACAGATCAGATAAGAGCAAAGTCGGAGACACTGTGTGACATCACTGAAGAGACCAGAGTGGAAGAACATTGGAACTCTCTGAAAGTGATGTTCAAGGAAACATCTACCATCGTTTTAGGAAGAAAGAAGAAGCAATACGATGAATAGCTCACAGTGGATACCTGGAAGCTAATAGAAGAGAGGAGAGGAGGATGGTGAAATAGAAGATGACTCAATGCAAAGATGGACAACGGAAGGAGAAGCTGAGTTCAGTGTACACTGTACTGAATAAAGAAGTGAAGATTAATGCTAGGAAAGACAAAAGACAATTCTACGATACACTTGCTGACAATTAAAGCAGAACAGGCTGGCCACAGGTGAAAGAGACATGAGAGATCAACACAGCTGACGAAACCAATAATAGATGGTCAAGGGAACCTGATCACCAAAGAGGAGAGACAAATAAAACAATGAATGGGCTGATCATTTCATCAAAGGACTTCTGAGTCGAACATTACCTGCAACTCATCCAGAAACACCACCAACAGCATGCGCAGGACTGCTAGTGGATACCAGTCCTCCAACGAAAGCAGAAATCTTCAATGCAATCAAACAGATTAATGTAATCCCAACTTGTATCTAGCCTAAACCTAACCTTGATCTTTCATTATCCTAACCTAAGACTAACCAGATATCTTCCTGCCTAATATCACACTACACTTCACGCAACTACTCTTTCCCATGAATGAAGTGTTATTTACCCCATTCTACAGCCTTGCGTTCGAGTCTGTTGGGTTTATACTATTATTACCCCCTTACCGTAAGATAAATTCACTGAGAAAAAATACCGATGATCTGATGCGATCTGATCGACCGTGTACAAAGGGATAGCCGTCATCCATTTTCTAATAAAAAAAGGTTACTGCCAGACCAGCAGCAGAATAATGAATCGTATATGTTAATATCTTAATCATATACATATTCACATTAGTCTAATTGATTTCTTCGTATGTATGTGTGTGTGTGTGTGTGGCAGTCACATTTAGTTGTGTGATTGTGTTCTCTGAACTGGGTAATTTAACTGCGAAGCTTTCATTGTCATTCTGGATAATATCTTCATCTTCTCTATGAATCATATAAATGTTTATCGTCTCTTGACGGATGACTTGTGTTACAACTGACTGTTAATTTGAATTAGTATTGATTGTTTCTATTGTCTTCGAATTTGATATCTTTTTTGTCATGTGACAGAGTCACATTGTTAAGTAAGATACATGAGGAGATAGTGGCTTCTTTTTTATGTAAGCTGTGCATTAAAATATACAATCTTAATCTAGATCAAAGATTGTGTCATTGAATTTTTGTTGGCATGCTACTAAGCATTTCGAAAATAATAATATTTATTATTATTATTATTATTACATTGGTTTCCGAGTGGAACGTAGGGCTTCAGAAGTGCATCTGCATTTCATCCTGTTCTTTGTCCACCTGTTTTACTGACTCAACGACTGCCCATAGACTTTGATTTTCTCTTCTCATGACTTCCTCTGTGTGACACTCGAACCTATGCCCAAGCCTGATGCGTGACTTCGCTCAGCTATCTTCTCAGCGTATATTAAATCCATCAACACTTCCTTCTGAATACTTATTGACTAATAGGTTCCTGACTGGTCCACTGTATTGCCAGATTTCCTTGTGGATAATCCTTTATGACCTGTTATCTGGTCTTTAGTATCGAGAGAAGGTATGTGTCTATGGAAGTCTACAACAGCTTGTTGAAAATATAATATAATAATAATAATAACAGCTTTATTCCAAACAGTATTTGTAGTACAGGTTGCGTCTACATTTTAAACAATTATTGTGTAATAGAAGATGTGAACAACAATATAATGGTAACGAAGAAAGGAAAGCAAAAACTAATGGGACTATTTGGTAGAGTGCCGCAGTAAGTTGATCGTGTCACACCGAACGGATTTTTCATCACATAACAGCTGTGCCAGATATGGTATTGTGGAGTTTTTGTACTTAATAGTCCTAGCATATAGCCTCTTATAGCTGCTTCTGGTTCTATCAGATGAAATGCAAGGAGAGAGCTGCGTATAGAGAGGATGCTAGTTTTTTACATGACATTATATGTCTATCCACAATAGTGTTAACCAGTTGGTTTAACGATACTCCACTTGCTCTACTAACGGCTTTTAGTGCCCTTCTCAGCAAAGCAAAACCTTTCTTAAGTAGTCCAGGAAAGATTAATGGGGAGCAGTAAAGGGCGATGGGTAGAATACAAGAATTTACAAACTGAGAAATCAAAGACTGCTTTATACCAGACTGCCTTAACTTCCTAATGTAGAACGTTAGGCGAAACATCTTTCTAGTAACTAGCAAGATGTGGAAGGACCAGGAAAGATCGGTGGAAATACTCAGTCCAAGGTACTTGACACCTGATGTAATTTCAACTTCTGTGCCGTCAATGATAGTGGAGCCATGTGAGTTAGCTAGTTGTTGTAGGTCACGTTTACGTCTGAAAGTGAAATTGACTATCTGACATTTAGACGGATTAAGCTTAAGTCCGTTTGAAGAGGACCACTGACTAATTTCCGACAGAAAGCTATTTAATTTGGAACAATCTGACTGATAGTTGACAGGCATAGAAACAGAGAGGTCATCAGCATACTTAACAAAAGTGGCTACTTCAGAATGGGGCAAGTCATGTGAGAGAAAAAATAGCAGAAAAGGAGAAAGAACAGCTAAAGTAAGTGAGCTAGTGGAGGACTTTCCATTGTAGACTTCGTACTGCTTCCTATCAGAAAAATAGGAATGCAGCCACTTATTTGTCCAGCTCTCAGCCTGTGTTGCAGCAAGCTTTGTTAGTAAGAGAGACCTAGGTACAGAGTCAAATGCAGATGTGTAATCAAGGAAGGCACAGCGAACGTATTTAGCTCCTTTATCTAAACTAGAGACAATACTATGATGTAGGACAACAGCGCCATCTTAGGTACGACTACTATGTTTATAAGCAAACCGTTTGGGGTCATTGAAAGGCTTTAAAGAGGGTTCAAGATAAGGTAAAATAAGTCTTTCCATAACTTTCAAAAAAGGTTAGGTAATAGCAAGGGATCTAAACTTGACATTAGGCCCACTTGTTGATTTAGGCACTGGAACAATCTTGACATTTTTCCATGAGTCAGGTATAATATTTTCGAGAAAAGATTCGTTGAAAATGTCGGTTAGTGGGGAACATAAGATGTCAGCAAACTTCCTAAGAATAACAGCAGGAACACCATCAGGACCAAGGGACTCAGTAGGTTTGAGAGATTGAAGACACTTAAGGACATCATTCGTATTAAAGCATGAGAAGCAGTCATTATTTACACTATTAGAGTTAGGAATCATAACATCTGCAGGTATACATATGAAGGATTTATTAAGCATGTCAACATCGACAGAAACTCACCATAAGTCCCTCAATCATCCAGAAGCTCCGAGTGATTTGACATTAGTGTTGAAGATCCAGATCTTATTCATTGTGCTGAGTACAATGGATTTCCACAACGATTCCAGCGTGATGAAGGTTTGTCTTACTTTACCAATCCTACCTAACTTTGACATACGTATCTGTTCCACCTGCAGTCGAAAAGATACTGTCTAGGTAAGCGAAACAAGCGACTTCCTTCAAATTTCTCCTGTTGATGGTGATTGGTACCTGTTGTTGTTAATTTATTTTCTATGTCTATATGGAGTCCAGCCTTGGCTGCCTCCTCTGTCAACTTGTTGAATTCCGCCTGTACACCTTCGAGTTTATATAACATTAGATACAAGTCGTCCGCGAAGTCCAAATCTTATAATGTCTTCTTATTGACCCGATGTATTCCTGTCTTCGCATAACCCATGGTCAGTCGACCACAATCAAGAATATCATCGGTCAGACTTCACTTCAGATGCTTCACAGAGCTTTCCATTGTGAACCACCTGACATGTAGTATCATTATATAGCAGTCGATTTAAGTTTATCAAAGATTTTGTTTGACACAGTTGACTCCCATTCTATTCAGTGTTCGTTAATAATTGTATAGAGTCCCAGTCTACCATTTAGATGAAATGTAAGCACTGCGAACAATTATTACACTTTTGAAATAATCTTATACATTATTTTAAACTAGGTAGTATCTAACACTTGCATTAAATCTATAATATTTTTATATTTCTGTAGAATGAACTGGATCCACTCTGTGAGAATGATTCAATCTCTTTACCGCTTTACTTGAATAATACACGTGACAATTTAGTAACATATATTCGTGTACCATGTCCACCAGGAAGTCAAAATCAATGGATTCCAGCAGGAACAGCATTATTACTTAGTTGTGTATAATTTCAAATGCAAAAATTGGTGATAATTAATCGATATATATATATATATATATATATATATATATATATATATATATATATATATATATATATATATATATATATATATATATGCACAAAAGACTAATTGTACGTTTTATTGAATGATTTGATTGATTATCTCATGTCTGTCTGACTCTATTTTTTAAAAGAATTATTGATTTTTATCGTTACATAGATTCATACATGTAAAATGTAATCTGTGATTCTAATGTATTGCATTTCCTTAATTCCAAGTTTTCTTATTTTGTTAAATTAATCAGTGGAGTTTGAAAACTATGTCATAATTGCATAGTAGTTTATTTATATCACGAAGAAAGAGGCATGAATTGGCGCGAAAAACTGCTCACTAGTCAGTCAGCTTACACATATGATACGAATATGAAGATAATTGAGATGAATGATAAAGACCTCTACTAGCTGGCATCTTCACGGTGAGCTTAGAGAATAGCTTACTGAAAGAAATTGTCTCGAGTTGGCATGTATGGATATAGGTAGATATATAAGCGGTACATTTTTAAATTTGTGATGACAACTGTTCAACTAGCCCGAATGGTCCACCATCGAAGAAGAAGAAGAAGAGGAGGAATCGAACTACAAATTTCAGTTCTTAAATTTTATGTGCATTAAAGGATAGAATGTTTCAATAAGACAGTCAATCTACTGAAAACAGAACTTAATATCGCAGTACGTTAACTTTAACACTTTTGTTTACCTGTAAGTTTTTATGACCAGAACTAGTAGACTATGAGCGAATACTAAATTAGTGCGCTGGCTAAGCTGTCCTAATCGTACATCAACAACAATAACACCACCGGGCCATAAATATAGAAGATTGGACTAGGTGTTGATAAGAGAGGTTTTACTGTCTCAAACAACCCTCAATGAAGGTTGGCAGAGCTTACGTGTGTATAACTTAAAATGACCTTGAGAAGCACTAATGTCATTGATAGATTAGGACAGTGAACAACCAATAGGATTTCAAAGGTCAATAAGTAGTGTGGGAGAAACTTAGATCGTAAATCAATAAGTGTATTGAGGGGAATACATACACACATGTGAAAATGACATGTAGATAATTAGGTCTATATATCAGAGTAGAAAGAGAAACCTTATTTGCTTTCTGTGTTCCAAAATTCACATAGAGAAAACAGAGGTGATGAAGATTCCTGGCCAACATCAACAGCAACAACAACAACAGACAACAATCAGCCAGTATAAGTGGGAGGAACCTGAAAGAAACAACCTCCTTCACCCACCCACCTACCTGGGAAGCATCGTTTCAACTACAGGCGGAACTGACGAGGATATCAAAGCGAGAATCGGAAAAGCAAGACAAGCTTTCATTACTCTCAAGTCTGTGTGGAGGTCAACAGCACTCAGCATCAAAATGAAAATAAGATCCGGATTTTCCACTCCAATCTGAAGTCAGTGCTACTCACCATACGGATCAGAGACTTGGCGCGTCATAAAGAGCATCTCAAACAAACTTCAGACCTTCATCAACAGCTAGCTGTCTTCGCTCAACACCACTAAAGATCAGATGGCTGGCCAGAAAAGATCAGCGACAGGGATCTCTGGCAATGAGCGAACCAACCCACCAGGAACCGATTGTGAAACAAATAGGCAGGAAGAAATGGAGATGGATTGGCCATACTCTGAGGAAACAAACCATCAAGTGACATCCCTAGACAAGCCATCGCTCGAGTGGAACCTGAAAGGAAAGTAGCGAGTTGGTCATCAATGCAAGGGTGACTTGGAGGAGGTCATGCGAGGAGGAGATGAAAGCATGTGGTCAGACTTGGAGCGGGGTGAAAAAGTTAGCAGAAAACCGAAGGCAATGGAGGTGTACAGCTGAAGCCCTATGTTCCTCTAGGAATTAAAGGAAATAATAACAATATAGTACACAGTATGTTCCGAAATTCTGAAAATCTCTATAGATACAGTTGATCAAGTACTGAAGAACCTTCGTACAATACTCTTAAATAATGGCTATCCTAAAAGGCTTTTTGAAATAACATATGAAGTAAGAAATTGGTCTTAGCCAAATCATAGTGCTGAAGAAGACACCATTTACGAATATGTCATTTAAAGGTGACACTATTGTTAGAGTGATTAAAAGTCAACTATCTAAATGCATTAAACGTCAATTTTATACCGCTGATTTAAACCTAGCTTTCACTGGCTGAAGTATGGTTCAGCGATGCGTGAGGGATAAACTACCGCTTATGTCCACGTCTTTCACATGCTCCGGTGGCGCTGATTACATTCTTTTCTGAATAGAACTGTGTTTTCCCCCAATTAATAAATAAATTGACTTCTTCCGTAGTTTGAAGAACTTCAGTGGAACTCAGTGCTCCATCCAGAAACACTGCCATTGAGTGCGTCGGCAGCACAGTGGTTAGGACTCTCGCCGACCATGCACATGGTCCGAGGTTCGAGCCTCTGCCGACGCACACCTGATATCTATGATCGGCCTGCAAAATTTGGGCTACCGATATCATATGCTGAAAATCCCATACTTGTATCAAAAATACAATGTGGAATCAAGCTGTGATCAAAAAAATGAATTCTCGCTCAGAACTAAAGTTCTGTAGGACTATAGTGGATATATTGATTGGTCACTAGAGGTTATCAATTCCACTTGAGTTTACATATAAGCCATACTGATGAGTACCACTCAGGACGAAATCTAGGCTCAGGGGCCCCCTAGCGACTGCCTCTAATCATCTAGCATCAATCCAGAGTGCATTACGGTAAACACATTGTAAACCTGACAGAGAGAATTCACTCTGAACCAACATTAAGGATTAGATACGTGACATTAGTTCCTCCACCCCTCCTCACCAGGGGACTAATCAATGTACTTTTTGAGGCACTTTGTTATTAAACTTTGAAGTAATATTATTACTGCGATATCTACGATTATAAAAATAAATCTATTTAGTGACTGGAATTCTAATTCCGCTTTTTGCATCTTTGTAGTTTGAAATGAACTGATTATAGTACACTCATTTGATATAAATAAACAGTAATTATTAAAGTTACTGTGAATGAGTTTACTGAAGTAACTAGTAGTGGTTACTGGTTCGAATCCCATTGTAGTAGTCATTTCATTCCTTTGTGTTCTTGGGGAATATAGGAAATATATAGGACAGGATCCCGCTGTTGACCAACTGTATTTGCATTTATCATTTCATCTGCTCGTGTGGAGCAAGGTATATCGGTCGTTCGACTCGAGTTTTGTCCAATAGGGTCCAAGAAAACTATCCTGTATGGTTACAAAGAGGTGGAAATGGAGCAATAAGAAGCGTGATCATTGAACATCTGGTCGATAATGATCACCCTATTCCTACAGCCTCAGCCTTTAAAGTCATCTACAAGGCAAACAGTAATTTACCGAAATCTCCACATACCTGATTTATCTGTATTGTTGAAGCTTTGGCTATCGAAACACAAAATCCAGATCTCTGTGTACAGAAAAAGTTCGTTCAATCCCTCCAACTTTCACAGTTCTTATCCCTCTATGTTACAGTATGGTAATCCCTAATCACATTTTGGTTCTTCCAATTTTTTCTCGTTTTGTCTGTTCAATTTGTATACTTTTCCTTTATTACGTCAATTGTTACTGTTACTATTCTCACTTTGAACTGACCCCGGTATTACTTCACTTGTTCCACGTGTCATTTTAAATCAATTCTGTTTTGCAATGTTAAATTCTATGTTATCAAATTTCACACAATATTACGTAACATTTTTATTTTATTCAATTTGCCTACTAATCCTATAATTGCACACCCTTTCCAAGTCCCATACATCCTATGAATTGTTTTGCCACTTGACATTTAATTATGATTATAATCACAAACATTTTAATTGCATTTCATACTACTATTATTATTTCATGGATTCACACCTATGACTCAATTCCCTCACCGGATATAATCTCTTAAAAACCACATATACATATACGATTGTACGGCTTGATAATAAATACGTTGAAAAGAGTCTCTTCGCCGAATCAATTGTTTTGATTTTCTATCAGTATAGAAGGTATCACATTGTACTTTGGATCTTGAATACTGACACGTTTTCCCCAAAAATTTAAGAGGAATTTGGATCGTTTCATCAGAATCAGTATCATTCACCAAAGGGATGTTCCGTCAGTCCACTCGATGCCTAAAAGATCCAAATCATGACGACCAGTAAGATAACATGTATCTTCAAAATTCTTTGAAATGAACTGGACATCAGAAGAGATGTCACCAACTAAATTCAAAATATCCCCAGAAACACTTTTATCAACATGGCATGTAGTGGAGACTGAAGTGGAAATCTCTGCAATTGTGAACTGATTACATCTCCTGGTTTTGCACAAATAGTGCCGTCACTAGATTTTGATGTCTTAACAGGATCCAGATTATCAATCTGATTTTCAACATCAATTTTTATGGCTCCATTGAAACCAACTGTGTAAATAATTCATCGAATGGTAAATTGCACTGTACTTCTGTGGCTGATTGGATAACAGAATCAAAACTGTCAGTATGGGGATGACTAGATGCCTGCAAAGGTAGTTTATCAGTAGGCACTTGGATTAGTTTAATTTTGAAGTCTGCATACTGCTTCTGTTACTGTTATAACAGTAACTGGACTTGCTCAAAACCCCTAAGAACATGATCGATAACAACCCGTTGAAAATTATTGTGACCAGATACAATTCTGAACTCTATTATAGATAAGATTTTATTTTGATATATCACACAGTGTTGTACAGTTATATTAACTGATGACGTTTCCAGCACAAGTTATTGCTCATAATCATATCAGGTTACTCACACAACTTTTTTCCTTCATTTATATACATGTGTGGAATTGATCAGATATTGGAATAAAAATCAATATGATATAATGTACAGTCAAAAATAATAATACGAGTATATTATAATTATATTATTGTATCCTTTAGTTCCTAGAGGGACATAGGGCTTCAT